CATGCCGGCATCAAGCAGGTGCCTTCACTGTGCCCTTTTCAGTGTTTGCTAAAAACATTTTTCTTCAGGCAAGCTTATTTAGATATGTAGAAGCTGAAAGTGATCTTAATCTGTTTGTAGCTCACTCTTGATTTTAATTATAATAATTTGAATTACTTTTTAACAAACTGTCTTTCTCAGTAATCTTAATGTTTCTTTTATTTTTTTGCAAACCACCTTAGAGGTTCTATGTGCAATCATGTGATAGATCAGCTTTGTTAAACAAATAAATATATAGCTGGGAGTAAAAAATGAAATATTTTTACCCTATGCATGGCTATGCTCCTGCATCATTTAAAACAGATTGTCCTCAATTCAGTTATGTTGTCTTCATTACAGTTTAATGTGGTAGTAGAGGGTAAGGTAAAGGTACCCCCTGCCCGTACAGGCCACTCTTGCCAGACTCTAGGGTTGTGCGCTCATCTCACTCTATAGGCCGGGAGCCAGCGCTGTCCGCAGACACTTCCGGGTCACGTGGCCAGCGTGACGAAGCTGCTCTGGCGAGCCAGAGCCGCACACAGAACGCCGTTTACCTTCCCGCTTGTAAGCGGTCCCTATTTATCTACTTGCACCCGGGGGTGCTTTCGAACTGCTAGGTTGGCAGGCGCTGGGACCGAACGGCAGGAGCGCACCCCGCCGCGGGGATTCAAACCGCCGACCATGCGATCGGCAAGTCCTAGGCACTGAGGTTTTACCCACAGCGCCACCCGCGTCCCTGGTAGTAGAGGGTAGGGGGAACAAAAGGGGCAAAGTATAGGGGGTGATGCTTTATCCTATGCTACATTTCTGTACCAGAAACAACAGAATATTTAAAACCAATTCCCCCTCCCTGCCTCAGCAGCTGAAACATATTTTCTCTCTTGGTTTTGATGGACTTAATTTTCAAGTAGGCATAGGGTTATTTGAATAGCTATATTAAGATTTAATTTGTATGAGAATAGTGCCTTTCCTCCAACAATTTTATAAATGAAACGGGACTGATTCTACCATGAGGAAAACACCTCTTAGGTAGCAAATCGTCAATTATTTAGTTTTACTTGTTTTTACCCAAGGGTGTCCTGCTATAATTTTCAATCTCAAGTATCAAATCCCCTGAGTTAGCTTCGAATGAACACCACACATAGAGTTAGTAATTTCAAGAACTGTTGGCCAATTAAATAATTTTAGCTGATTAATCATCAGGCCTAACTTAATTCAAATCACTTTATTACATTCAGATGTGTTTCCATATTACCAAAATCCAAAATAAGTGGAGGATTATGGGGTTTAGATCCTGGAGGAAGTGTAAGATAATCTACACAGTGTAATAAACAAGAGGTACCACACATTGTTACCTGTCCTTAATGTTTTCTTTCTTCATTTCCTAAATAGAACAGCAACCCACAGCCCAATTCCAGACACAAATGTATCCCAACAGCTCAGCAGTCTCTCCAATGAGCCAACTTGTTTTGGAGGGGAAATTGTATGACAAGAGCTGCTAGGGTGAGCAGTTCACAGTGCAACAGATCTCTGAATGAGTCAAGAGATTCCTGGTTTAGCCACTGGCAAATCCCCAGTGCTGGTTTAGCTGAATATACACCTATATAACTTGCTTATCCTATCTCGGCCAGACCTGGCTAATTCAAGGCTGGCGTAAATCCCCCAAAAGGGGTGAGATGTGACCAGGAATGGAGGATTTAAGATGGATATGCAGTCATGTGACCTGCAAAAAATGGTAGTGTGAGTTAAACTATTTTAAAGACTTGATTTCCCTCTGACAGGGTTGGGCCTCCTCAACCAACAGCAGCCTTGCTCCTGAATGGGATTTAGGTCTAACATAACTTTATGTCGGCTTAATTTTCACCAGCTTACTTTACACCAGTTTCTTATGCATAATTGCTCCCTTAGGTGATTAATCCTCAATTTAAACTCTTAGCAGCCTTAGAATTTACCAAAATAAAAAGGTAATTGTAACATAGCAATAGGTTTTCCTTTTTAAAAAATGTATGCACAACTCGTTTTGGGTTTAAGTCTAAAGTGTTTTTTGAAAAATTCCATTGATGGAGCTAACCATTAAACAAAGCCATATATGGCGTTAATATTGGTTTTTCCAGGAACATGACTCAAGATTTTCTTTTTAGATGGGAAAATGCCAGTTGACCTATCTTTGTTTTTGTTATATAAGTGTTTATCAGCCTCATTCTGTGCACGTTTGGAGAAGGAATGGCTACATTCAGGGAGGAGGGGGGGAGTCAGCTATAAAAAGAAACAGATTAACAAGAAAACTATTAATAGTGTCATGACATTGATGATGTCAACCTAGGAGCACACCCATCTCCCCTCATCTCCCCTTAGAGTACACCCATCTCCCCTCACAGAAACAAGAAAAATAAAGATTGTCAAGGATGCACTTATTCACTATAGTAGTAAACACATGGCATTTTCTTTATGACTTGGAGGGAAGATTTTGCTGGACTGAGTCAACTGCAATTTAGGAACATCCAGTGCTTTATTTTTTTAAAGTTTAGGGGTATAGTGGTACCTCGGGTTAAGTACTTAATTCGTTCTGGAGGTCCGTTCTTAACCTGAAACCGTTCTTAACCTGAAGCACCACTTTAGCTAATGGGGCCTCCCGCTGCCACCGCACCGCCGGAGCACAATTTCTGTTCTCATCCTGAAGCAAAGTTCTTAACCTGAGGTAATATTTCTGGGTTAGCGGAGTCTGTAACCTGAAGCGCATGCAGCCTGAAGCATATGTAACCCGAGGTACCACTGTACTCTCATTTTCCTACTCATGTTGAAATACTGCCCCTCAATGAGGCCAAACTTAGATTCACAAAATGTTTAGGGGTGTGCGTACCCCTGCGTCCCCCCAGAAAAGAAAAGCACTGGGAACATCACAAGAGAATGACATGGGTCACGCCGCATCATAATTTGGATTACTCCAACTTTGTCTGGATAAATTAAGCCCAAATTCTGTCAAACCAGTGTAAAACAGCACCAATAATTTCGTGAGCTAGACGCAGCCTCACCTAAACGCATCCCAAATCTCACCTGAATTGCATTTGGATTGCTGGCAAATGTCGGGGTAATGGAAGAAGGGAATGAAGAGCAGGGGGCAAACTCTGTCAGGTGCAGCTTCTCCCTTCACCACAGCGCTGTGGTGAGGAAAGCCTCTCCTGCTGAAATGGCCCATGAGATAGTAGAGAGAAAGTTGTCAAGGTCTGGGCCTCCTTTCCTTCCTCAGCAGCTTCTAGTCCCCTGCTAGGCTGCTCACTTGCTTCACCTCATGGAGCATCAACTTCCTGCCTTCCTCTTCTGCCTTTAGGCCCTGAAGCCTTTCCCAGACTGCAGGTGTAATGGTGAGAAAGGCCGCACCTGTTTGAATTCTGACCTTCAAGGGGCTGTGAAAGGAGAAAAAGGAGGGAAAGCAAGAATGCAGAAAAAGAGAGGAGGGAATCCTTGGGGAAGGGTCTTAGCTCAGCGACAGAGCATCTGTTTGGCATGTGGAAGGTTCCGGGTTCAAGTTCCAGCATCTCCGAGTAAGACTGGGAATTCCCTGTCAGAAATTCTGGAGAGCTGGTGCCAGTCAGAGTAGGCAACGCTGACCTAGAAGGGTCAATGGTTAGACTCCACTTCAGCCAACTTCCTCTGTGCAGCTCCCTGTCACTGGCGACGCGAATGGGTGGGGAGGCAGGCAGTTGTGCACTGCAGCCCAGCAGATTGTTATTTGTATTTATTTATTTGAGAAAAATGTATATTCTGCTTACTTGAAAGTAGAGACATCGTAAGCAGTTTACAAAGGACAAGCTCAAATGTTTGTTTAAAATAAAATACTGATAAAAGCAAATGTTAAAAATAAGTTAAATATATATAAAATCAGGCATTTTAAAGCAATTGTATCTAATACAATTTAAGCATGTTAAAATCACATGCCCAGGTAGGCCTACTGAAAGAAGTTTTTAACTGAGCACCAGAAACAATACAGCAAAAGCTTCTGTCTGATAATCTCTGCAGGTTGATTCTGGGTTTTGGATTCCACAGAAAGATAGGGCAAACATGCTGGTTATTTCTATACTTAAATTTGCATATATATTTTTGAAGCCCATTTGTTTGTATTTATTTGTTATTTTACAGGTATGGTCAGTTGCTGAAGAGGAAGAGTGGGTCAACGGAGGAGCTTCCTCCTCCCAAAAGAGGTCACTAAATCCAGAGATAGCTAGAGGAACTGTAACTGAAAACCTTTTAAAATTATATTTTTGTAACAATAATAAAAGGGATCTTTTAATTTTTAGAACTAAAAATACTGAATCTTGCACCGTAATTAACGGTAATTGAAGGCACAGGTTAATCAAAGGCTGGGCTGCAACTCTCCGACAGACAGGGATGTTGGGAGTTCAATAACATCTTGGCATTATTGCCCTGGTATAGTTGGAAATACACTAGCCTGGAAAGTAGGACTGAGCAAGAGAACCCAATAACATTGATTCTGCTGATAATTTGTATTACAGACCGATGTTAAGTACAGACAAAAGGTAGTATCAACCAATAATTTCTATTGGTTTAGAGGAGTGGGGAACCTTTAGCTCGCCAGATGTTGTTAGACTACAACTCCCATCATCCCTGACCATTGGCCACACTATCTGGGACTGTTAGGAGTTGTAGTCCAGCAACACCTAAGGTTCCAGCCCTAGTTTAGAAAAAAGAGAAATGACCTGAAAATAACTCAACACTTCTGTGTTGTGAAAAGTTTGCCTGTTTTTCTACACAAACTGCTGTTAAAGGCATAAGAACATCCCACACTATCCGCCCCACCCACACCCGGGTCATTGCCAAGCCTCCCAATTCTTGACACAGAGCAAAGGTTTTGTTATTAAGAGAAGTGGGATATACAATATACAAAATACTGTGTCCCTCAACTCCTGGAATGAATCTTGTAGCGTCTATAATGAAGCTAAATCACCACCATGAAGAAAGTCCAATGCAGTAGTTAAAAATATTTATTTCTTATATGTTTACCTTAACAGACATAAGGCATTTCCCCTAATTTCATACAGAAATACATAAGACATGCATAGACCAATATGGCCTGTTTCAATGAATATTCAACATGGTAAATATAATGTCAGTTTCATGAATATAAATACAATATATAGATTAAAAAACATGCCACATCATACAAAATTACAATCCAGACCTTATTCAGCGAATTGTCTTATAAACCCACTGCTATGAACATCCACTGCTTTTTTGTCTTATTTTTAAGCCACCTGCTGCCATACAGACTTTCATTTCAAGAGATCGTGCCAATGCAGCATCTACCTCTTATTAGGATATTTGTTATCCGCATCTCCACATTACACTAAATGCTGTCAGATCTCCTCTTGCACTGAGTGTTCATGCAGTTTATTGTGTTAAGCTAAACTTCATTTCTGCCAAGCTCGTGCACATCAATCCCAAGCTTGCTTATCTGAGGCTGCAATCGTATACACACTTACCAGGGAGCAAGTCCCATTGAGCTCAATAGGAGTTGCTTCCAAGTTAAGACACAGGATTGCACTGCAAAAGCAGAAAGGCAGTGAGATCTACTTCCCAGGAATCTGTGCTGTCTTTAGGATGGGGCCTGTTAGTTTCTTTCCTTTGTTAGCACAGAGTGTAGAAAACCATTTTTATCCGCAGCCTTGAAAGTTCAGAGCTACAAAATGGCGAGCTACTGGCATTTATGAATGATTAAAAAATAAGAGGTTGTAACAGATGCTTGAAGGTCACACAAAAAAGTTTTAACAATACTTTGGCAAGAGTGCAACATAAGAGCATTTGAGGTAGAGTTGTTATGTAGGATGTGTGTCCTGATCAAAGTAGCACAGTCATTTTCCATTTTAATTTAAGTCAAAACGATGCAAGTCTTCTCTTTCAGATCTTGACCTCTTCATTTCTGATCTTCCTGATCCCAAAAGAGCTTGCATTATATGTTAAGAGAAGCCTGCCAAACCATATAAGATCACTGCTTCAATTTTACCCTCTCTTAAGAAATGGGGCCCAGATTTGCCCTTTCTTCATCTGACAGCCCACCGAAAAAGAAAACCAGTTGAAGGGATGCTTTCTGACCCAACCCATTCAATGGAATTCCAAGAAGATGGCAGTATTTAACTGCTTTGTCATCTGTCCAAAGGGAAGATTTATTTGGGCCCTCCTCTACTTTCAGAGAGTTAATATTTAGAACAACACTCCTTGATCTTTTCCTGGAGTGGAATGTTAAGAAGTCAAAACAGAGCTTCAGCAATGCTTTGTCAGTAATTCGTGATGACTCGAGGATTAGGGTTGGTGATCTTTCCACTAAGACGTCGTCTTCAGGCTTTCCCAAATATTTTGCTTTTGATATGTTCGGTTATGCTTCATCTGCTTTGGTTTGTGCAGCCTGCTCTTCAGTTTGGCAATATTAAAAGACGCTTTGATACTATTACCGATGGCATCCAACCTGCAGAAACAAGAAACCATTAAATAAATCGAGAGACCATACATTCTGATCTTCCTATTCACATGTAACCCAGATTGTATAGATACATAGCAATTCTGCTCCTTTTTCCTTCCCACCTTTTGAGATGCTCAACGAAACACACATCCACATACTCCTATACCAGGGCTTCCCAAACTTGGGTCTCCAGCTGTTTTTGGACTACAACTCCCATCATCCCTAGCTAGCGGGACTAGTGGTCAGGGGTGATGGGAACTGTAGTCCAAAAGCAGCTGGAGACCCATTTGGGAAAAACCTGTCCTATACTATTTCAAGTTGATTCAATATAACCCTAAAGGTCTGCCATATTTTATGGCAGGGAGCAAAGGGATGGTAGAACTCCATAATGATCCCTGTGTCAGTCTGCTATTAAAAGCAGCAGCAGTTTCAAAAAGGAAGAATGACAACTAACCCACATTGCACCTCAATTTTTATTATGAGAATCTGCCTCCATGTACATTAAATGGTGTATATGCCGTATATTTTGGTGTCCATACGTGGAACTCTTTTTGCAGTCATCCACAGCCAGGATTTAATTTATTGTGAGGACTGCATAGGCATGATTTCTCCCCTGAAGAGACTTAGCACTTTGAAGTGCCAAACCCATTTTGGAAGCAGGATATTTACATAAATTTATTAAATGGGATTACTTTCTGCAAGATAATGCTCAACATTAATCACAAAAGTAAGAGATCAATATGCTTCAGGTAAAGTTAAAGGGGGGGGGAACACCCTTTAGGGTCACTGCCAGTCTCGTCTGTGAGAAAACTTATTTCAGGCACCATATTTGGTGCTTAATTAGATGCTTGCATATGAGCAAAATACATCTGCCAAGTCAGCCTAAAGGCAATTCAACTGAATGCAAATCTATCCGATCCAAGGTCCTGTTCCTAACACTTCCTGGTTTCCATGAAGCAGTCTGTTCCATACAATGAAGAAACTGTGTAGGTAATAGTTGTGGTGCAAAGATTCTACCACAGCTACCAAAAGGCTTCACTTTTCCCAGATTTTTTTAAGAGAACTAAACACAGCTTATACCCTATTGCACAGACATTTCTTTCACTCAACCCTTTCCCCCACAGGGTATCAAATAACAAACTCACCTTCTCATTTTCTTGCTGTTAGCAAGTTGTCTGAACGCACATTTCAATCCAAGCCCTTTGCAACCTCTATCTTTATGAAGATTTCTCCAGCCTTTCTCTGTGGTGGACTGAGTCCTGTTTATATTTTTAAAAGGAAAGAGCGAAAAAGGTGCAGCTATGAGAACATTTGCATGATTTACATATCATGAACAATTACATTTCTTTGTTTACCCTAGCTTTTTTCCATACTTGTCAACACTCCAATTTTAACTAGACAAGAACCTAACAGGTATGCTGGACTAAGAGACCAAACATCACTAATGAGTTTCATGGCTGAATGGAGATTTGGATCTTACAGCATGTGAGTCCAACACTCTATATACCACTCTGGTTCTTTGACTACACTTAAACTTTTTTTTTTAATTGTGGCCTTTTACACACAAACAGATTTACTCATGTATAGTATACTTATCCTGGTACAGTAATACTTCCGCGAATGTCCGCTTCATCTAGCGTCCATTCTGGCGAACGTCCGCAGCAAACCCGGAAGTACCGGAACGGGTTCCTTCCGGGTCTGCCGCTCATGCATGCGCAGAAGTGCTAAATTGCGCTTCGTGCATGCGCAGAAGCACAAACCACTTCGTGCGCAGACGCGTCGCTTAGCCCTGCATCCTTTCTGGCTAGCAGCAGGAGCTCCGGAACGAATCCCAGTCGCAAAACAAGGTACAACTGTATCTAATAAACTGGAACCTAGCACTCAGTTCATTACAGCACAGGTGAAAGAGGACAGAACAAACCAAAACGTACCAGTGTTCTTTTCCAGTCTCGCAGAAGCTTGTGCACTTCTTGTCTTTTAGGTTAGCACACTGGCATCTTCCATGTCTTCCAAGAGGTAAATCTTCCAGTGACCGCCTTGATCGAGAAGGACTCCCAAGCCCATATGGCACAATTCGCCTATCATTGGAGGGAGGGGAGAGAGAGAAGAGGGAGAGAACTGTTTAATTTCACTCACAGAAATAACAGGAGCATTGATTTAAAAGACCTCTGGCCACCCCAAAGGTTGAACTCATGTTTGCTAATGACTTCTAACACACATTTGCATAGGCTGGTGGAAAAAGCAACACCAGTTTGCATTTTAGCAAATGTTAGCTGCCACAACTGAAACTTGAGGGAACCCATATTTAGGCTGACTTCTAGAGCCACTTGACAAATTTCATTTTCAGGAGCACAATAGTGTGTGACCAAGACAAATTGATGTTTGCAAACGCTGGCATCAAATATGTACACTTGTCAAGGAGACGTCCCTACTTGAAGACAAAACCCAAGTTTGCTTCTGCACACTGTGCGAAACATGTTAAAATTCAGAATTCATTGTGCTGCGTGAGATGTGTTAAAATTCAAGATTCGTTATGCATCTTCATCAGCATGCAATGAGCTCTCTCCCAATTCAAAATACAAATAAGTTGCACCAGTCATGTCTATTTAGCAATGAAGCCCTCCTTCCAATTATTACACTATTAAGGCAACTAATTAAAATGCTATTGGTGATGTTAGTGCCAGATGGTGGTTTTTAAAGATACATTTCAGCGCACTTATCAATGGTGCTTTTTAATTATACAACACAATTCTTTGGACAAGAGCATTCCTGGCCTTTCTTTGCTAATCTCTAATGGTGATTAACCATGGTCCTTCCACACATTATGCTGAGCCAGCAAGGAGCCACAGAAAGAATTTTTGACTAGATTCTGTCTTAGCGGAATGTGCTAAAGATATTCCTCCCCCTCCCTTCTTGGCTACAATCCAGCAACAAATTTCAGTCTAACACTGCAAATTATTTTGTTTCTGGGCGAATCAACTCTTTTACCTTACCCCAATGCACACACAATCCCGAAACAAAACAATTTAACTGGCTTTAACTTTTTAGCCATTAAGCAGCCTAGTACAAATTCATTTCAGAAGAATTTAAAATTTGTTTAGGACCAGAATCGCATGAAAAGCTGGAGTTAGTAAGCATGTTTATTCATAAGCAAACCTTGTTTCATATAATGAGCCACTACTCTCCTGGAAGTAAAATGCAACCCTCAGCATTCTTCATGTTACTTCAAGTCTTCTTCTGTCATTAAGAAGCGTCCTAGAATATCCTAGGATGCACCTATAAAGCTACTTAAATCCCACTGGTTTCAGGGATTACAATCGCAACCATTATGGCTGCAATCCTACACACCTACTTGAGAGTAAGCCCTTTTGGACTTTGCGAGAGTTACATCTGAATCCACTAAAGGTACTATTAGTGAAGTGATACTTTCAGAAAGCAATGCCTTGATTTGTATTTTTATTGCACCAACGTGAAATGCTTTGGTGCTTAATTGCTTTTAAAAAATTGTGATTTTTTTCCCGGCTAGCACTATGCAAAGTCTAAGATACACTTAGCCTTCCGCTTGGTACCAGACTGGTGCTGTGATTATGGCCCAGAGAGAGCACCAGACAGATGAGCTGAGGAGGTTACTTTAAAGGAGGAATTAGCAGGCTAATTATGCCACAACCGCAAGCAGCAACCTCGCCGCGATAATAATAATAAAAAACTGCATTAATGGCTTAGTTCCAAGGAGGAGGCAGTACTCACTCGGGAGTGTTGATCCAGATGATGTCCAGGTGGCAGAAATAGACACACTCCTTATCCATCAGGGAAGAGCAGGAGCAGCGCTTGGACCTGCGCAGCGGCCAGGGGGCGCTCGAAGGCTGCCTTTGGGCGCTCTCGGAGGCGCCGAGCTCCGCGTCTGCTGCAGCAGCTGCAGGAGAGAGAAAGAGCAGCGCTTGAGCGGCGCTTGTGCAAAGGGGGAAGAAGCCACGAGACAGGCAGGCGCTCCTATCGGAGCTTGGCCAGGAGGGAAGGCGCGCTATTCGGAAAGGAGACGGGAGCAGCTGCCATGCCTGCAGGCAGCGCGGCTCGCAGGAGACGCTCAGGGCAGCGCAAGGTTTATCAGGGACACGCGGCGATCGTCGTTACCGGGAAACTTTCTCCACGTGGCTGTTAATAAAGACGCAGCTTTTTTGGCTGGCGTTATTGATCCGAGGCAGCAGAGGAAGGGGAAATCTAAGCGGGACGGAGCGCAAGGGCTTTTAAACCGGAGTGCTTCTGTTTTATCGCGCCATGCAAGCAGCTGATGAGTCTTAAATCCATTTCCACACATGGTTGGAGGAACCGCAGAGCCGGAGCGGTGGCTGCCTTGGTGATGCCCTCCGAGGGGGGCCTTCGACCCAGTTCATCACCCCTCCACTCCACTCCACCTCGCTTTCCCTCAACTCCTGATCCTGCGTGACATAGGAACCAACTCCTAGGGGCCGAGGTCCCTTCGCCTCCCCAATAAAGTATTTGAGGGGGTCGCTAGCGCCCGCCCCAGTTGATGGGCATTGCCATTCAAATGCTGTGTGCGTGTGGCTTCTTGTGGAGGATCCTGCGGGACAAGGCTTACCTGCCCCCCCAAAAAAATATTTTAAGTTGGCACCTCTGGAAAAATCGTAACCTAGCCTACTGGGAAGCAACCCTTGTATTCAGTGGGGGCTTATTCCCCAGTCTAGGGAGGGTAGCTCGACTCCTTGAATTCATACAATCGCAACGAGCACCATTAAATAGGCGCATCCAGAGTCCCTGCGCTTATTCTGAAGATGCTCACTAAGAGGGAAAATGCGATCCTGAGCATCTTTCGAATAATGTTTGTGAAGGGTAGGTATAGGTATGCTACGGAGGCTAAAACGGAGCCAGAATCAGATCAGGTAAGGCAATTTGCGATTTCTAGGCAATGGACGGGCTAGTTGTACCTTTTTATTATTAGGGTTTACATCCGAGTAGGCAGGGGCAGGCCGCTTGTAATTCTCACCGGCGGCGGGTGCCCCCCCAACTGGTCCGCATGTGGAGTTTGTGGGTGTCTTTAGCATGCCATGCCAAAGTCTGTTTAAAGGAATGGGTTTTTAGGAGCACTTAGCTCTGCAAAGGAGTGCGGTAAAACTAGGATGCCCTTAGTCCGAAATCCCATCCAGGTTACCTCCCTGGGCTCAACATGTCAATGCAGAATTTTTCGTAGAGATTAAACGAGGTCGAGAAAATCCGCTCGAAGGGATGAGACGGGGCATATAAAAGAAAAACTCTTTAAATAATCGAACTTTCCTAACCACAAAACCAGTAGCGGCAGAATACTCGTTTACTCTGTGTGTGGTGCACATGCCACCAAACATTTATCCGCCATAAGATCGCGTTAACTCTCAGAGGGAGGAATCTGGTTTAAAACCAGCCACTCCGGGTTAACGGCCTTGTGGATCGCAGCCGAGGCGCTCCTTAACACCTTGGCAGCAAGCGAAGCGAAGAAACCAGCGCTCAGGTAGGAGTGAGTTTCAGGCCAGTGACCTCAGAGCCTTATCACTCTTCCTCGGCTGGACGCAGTCTACCAGCAAAAGTACACTCTTGACCTAGGCACGCTTGCAGTGGGAACTTGGAAAAACGGGAGTGGAGGGGGTAGGAGTAGCATGCATTATCACTCCCCCCCCTCAGGGGGGGGGGTAAAAAAAGAAAGAAAGCGCAGCGGATTCCTCAGCTTACCTGTGTGGCTGATCACAAAGAGCAAGGGAAGGATCAGTCGCGTGTAATCCATTCCGACGACTCTTCTGGTAAACCCAAGGCAAGCGAATGGAACTCCCCCTTTAAACCCCGTTTGCTCCCGCAGCAGGTTGCAGGTAGTAGCCGAGCGACTGTGCTTGCTCGCCAAGGATCCAAGGAAGACGAAAGGACTCCGCAATCCGCTAGGCAGCAGTGAGGCGGCGTCTCCGTGTTGCAGCGAGGCTCCCTGCGAGCTTCTGCCCGCGCTGGCTCTCGGCGGCTCCTTTTATACCGCTCCCCTACAGAGCGGAGTAAACAGCGCTCCTACTTTATTTTATCCCGAGACAATGTTATTGTGTCATTAGTCACCGAGAGGCAACGTGCAGAGCGAGATAAGGGCAGGCTCGGGAGGAAATCGCTGCGAGCTTCTGAGGCAGACGCCGTCTGGCAAGGCAGGGGCAGGGTTGCACAGGAAAATAAATACCCGGAGCAGACCTTTCGGAAAGACCGAAATCCCGCGGGCCAAGGGCGCCTCCAGCGCGCGGCCGCCAGGGGGCGCACCGTCGCGGCCTCTGCTGCGCCTGGGGGGCTTTGGCCCGCTGCCCGCGCTTGGAAACGGCAGTGGGGTTTCTTTCGGGTCAGGTTTTAAAAGGCGGGAGGAGAGGGAGGCGGCCACGGGAAATCGCCCCCCAATATATGCAAAAGACAGCGATGGTTTCCTACCTTCAATTCTGGGCTTGAGTTAGCATTTATTCAGCGGGGGGGAGGGGTTTCCCTGCGGGGTCCCTCGAGATATCTCTGGACTCCCATCACCCCTGACCATTGGCCATGCTGGCTGAGGCTGGTGGGGACCAGCAACACCTGGAAGGCCCACCCCACCCCCTGCGTTCAGTAAAGGTAAAGGGACCCCTGACCATTAGGTCCAGTCGTGGCCGACTCTGGGGTTGCGGTGCTCATCTCGCTTTATTGGCGGAGGGGGCCGGTGTACAGCTTCCGGGTCATGTGGCCAGCACGACTAAGCTGCTTCTGGTGAACCAGAAGAGGATTCGAACCGCCGACCTTCTGATCAGCAAGTCCTAGGCACTGTGGGTTAACATTCACACGTTAACCTTCACGTTAACATTCACAGCTTGCACGGCAGCCTTGAAACGGGAGGAGGGACCTGTGGCCAGTCCTACTGCTATTACGACCAGTGTTCAGAGATTATGGGAGTTGGGCTCATGCAACCTCTGGCAAGCCACAGGTTCCCTGTGTTTTTAGCTCATTTCAAGGCTCCAGGTCTACGCATTGCAAGCGTGCCTGGGAGTATACAGTTGGATAGTGAAATAAGAACTTTTCATGGATAAAAAAATAATCTTCCCAGATCAGACAAAAGCTCCATCCAGTCTGGCGCCCTGTTTTCGTCAGTCGCCAAGCAGCTACCCTTGGAAACTCGCAAGAAGGATACAGAGAGGGAGCTATCTTGTCTTGGCTCCAGCATGTAGCAATCCGAGCGACACAGCCTCTGAGTACAGACGGCGATAGTTCCATTTTTAGCTAGCATGGCAAGGGGGTGGGGTCTAATCCCTGTGGATTTGTCTAATCGCCTTTTAGCAACCAACTACCCCAGCTACCACCACTGCAGTTTGTCGTCATGAACTCATAGAATCGCAGAATTGTAGAGTTGGGAGGGACCATGAGGGTCATCTAGTCCAACCCCCAGCAATGCAGGAATCTTGTGTCCAACGTGGGGCTCGAACCCACAACCCTGAGATTAAGAGCCTCATGCTCTACCACCGGAGCTATCCCAGATCCATAAACTTAACTATGCCTGGTGTGTGTGGTGTACTTCCTTTTGTTCATTCTGCAAGCAATTTTATTGTAAAGAAGGAATGAGATGGAGGTAGCAACTGCCCCGTTTTATATGTGTATTCGAGACCAGAGTGTATTAAATCCAAGGCCTTTATAACAGGTGTGGTTCACCTGTGGCTCTTCAGGTGTTACTGGACTCCAGCTCTCTGCAGCCCCAGCCAGTGGTTTCAACAACCATGCGAGTTGTTGGGAAGATGGGGGGGGGGGAGGTTCCCCCAGTTCTCGTATATTGCAATGGGAGGGTTTTTTTTATTAATGGCAAATCGGCTAAAACGTTACTAAAAATGCAACTGAACTTAAGAACATCAGAAAAGTCCTGCTAGATCAGAGCAAAGGACCATTTAGCCCAGCATCCCATTTCTCACAGATGCCTGTGTGAAGCCTGCAAACAGGACCCGAGGGCTAAAGCATTCTCCCCACTTGTGAGTCACAGCAAATGGCAATCAGAGGCATTCAGAAGTAGTGAGTGGCCAACATTGCTATTAGCCAGTGGTAGCCTTTGTTCCATGATTTTTTTTTTAATTATTTCAAAAACGGGCAACACTTTATGAAACAAGAGTACCTCTAACCTTAATCAGTTTTCTGTGTCATAAGCATGTTTGAACTTGCCAAGTCTGTTACTTAATGATGTGCCATATTTTTTTATGGTGTTAGGGGTTGCTTCCAAGATTTCTTATTTCAGGAAATGCATCTACAATCCAAGTGAATCATCAATGCATTTTTTTTTTTTTTTTGGAATGCATTGGGCTTGCTGGAGGAAAGACTGTGCATTGGCAAAGGTATTTTTATTGCACAGCAATGTATGAATATTAGACAAGGAAGGAGAAAAGGCATTTGTGGGTTTTTTATTATTATTTTGAAATGGGTTACATTTAGATGATTATAAATATTTTGTTTTGAAACTACCAATGGGTGATGTTGGGGCAATTTGCTAGGGGCTCCAATAGCAGCAATAGAGCTCACTGCCCTAAGACCAAACCTTGAAAGAGGCAGTTAGTCGTTTCCACCAGTTACTACACTATCTACCTCTCTGTATGGCTCTAATTAAATGGCTGCAAGTTCTCTCTGGTTTATCACTGTGGTATTATTCCTCCTCCACTGTCATCCCAGCTTCACATTTATATTATTATGTGATGTAATCACGGCCTTTTTCAGCCGGAACTCACCGGAACTCAGCTCCATCTCCCCTCAGATGGGCGCATTGCCATTCTAAGAGAATGAGGGAGAAGTTTGTAGTGACCTCAGTCATCTCTTTTTCTAGAAAAATAGCACTGGATGTTCTGCATGTTACATATTATACAAACTATGGTGGAGAGAAGGCTTAAACTGCTGCTCCTCACTCACTGTGCCCTCCTACCTTTAATAAAAAGACCCACAAAATGCTTGGGAGGGTCACAATTAGCACTTAACTGTATAATCCAGTTTCTTACCCTCCTGCCACCTCAGCACGTGCTCTCTCTCTGTGTGTGTGTATCCTGTAAAGTTACAAGTTCTTGTGAAGCTGGGTTTTTAAAAGTATTGTTTTGATTTGCAAAGTTCTCTACTTCAGCATACCTAAGGAACCCTCAAAATTTGTAGGGGCCACTACTTTCTTTTCCAATAACCCTGTTTTGCCTCCATAGCAATAGGGCAGGGATGGGGAAGCTCTGACCTGCAAAACTAGTCCAGTCCTTTCATGAGCCTCGCACATCTCCCCCAAGTCATGCTTCCACCACCTGACTGGGAAGAAAAGGAAGCAACTTTAATCTTTGTCGCAGACTGGTTTGAGAAAGTTTCGCCCAGGGATGGAAAACCTGTGGCTGGCAGCTTCAGGTGTGGTCAGACTCCAGCTCCCATCAGTCCCATCTAGCATGGTTAATGGTCGGGGGTGGGCGGGATGGGATATGTAGTCCTGCAGCATCTGGAGGCTCACAGGTTCCCCACCAGAAGCCTCCTTCGCTTCTAGCTCCTCTCCCACAAGGCCATTGACAACCACCTGCCCCGCAGGAAGAATCCTTCTGACTTATTACATGTTACTGTGGCTGCGTAGGTGTGCATGCTGCGTGTTTTTACAAGCTCGGAAGGATTTGTATTTTGAAATACAGGATATAAATAATGGGCGGGGGGATAATAAAATGAATCGAATGCATTGATTGTGGACTGCCCACAATGTTTGGCCACTAGGGGAAATGGGGATACTGGCCTAAAGCGTCCTTTGCTCTGATTCAATGGGCTCTTCTTTTGATCTTAGCAACTTGTACATAGAGCAATGAGAATAGTTTGAATCATGGCTGCTGTTAAAGACACAGCAGCAGAGACTGATGGAAAGGCTACAGTCTAAATTACTCCTGAGCATCCCTTACTTTAAAATTGTTACCTGGTTGCCCAGAGATGGCTATTTCCCCCACGCCCACCCCACTTTTAATGAAACTACTCCGGCCACCTTTCCTCCCCTCTTAGCCCTTGCTCCTGTGCTTTGAATCATAGAATCATAGAATTGGAATAGACCACAAGGGCCATCGAGTCCAACCCCCTGCCAAGCAGGAAACACCATCAGAGCACTCCTGACATATGGTTGTCAAGCCTCTGCTTAAAGACCTCCAAAGAAGGAGACTCCACCACACTCCTTGGCAGCAAATTCCACTGTCGAACAGCTCTTACTGTCAGGAAGTTCTTCCTAATGTTTAGGTGGAATCTTCTTTCTTGTAGTTTGGATCCATTGCTCCGTGTCCGCTTCTCTGGAGCAGCAGAAAACAACCTTTCTCCCTCCTCTATATGACACCCTTTTATATATTTGAACATGGCTATCATATCACCCCTTAACCTCCTCTTCTCCAGGCTAAACATGCCCAGCTCCCTTAGCCGTTCCTCATAAGGCATTGTTTCCAGGCCTTTGACCATTTTGGTTGCCCTCCTCTGGACACGTTCCAGTTTGTCAGTGTCCTTCTTGAACTGTGGTGCCCAGAACTGGACACAGTACTCCAGGTGAGGTCTGACCAGAGCAGAATCCCTTTGAACAGCAGCCTGACATTGCTGGTGTGGTGTAGTGTAGTGGTTAAGACTGCTGGACTCGGACCTGGAAGACCAGGGTTCAAATCACTGAAGCTCACTGAGTGACCCTGGGCGGCTAGCCCACCTCAAAGGGGAGGAAGAAAAATATGAAAGCCACCTTATGCCCCTGGCAGGGGGTGGGGCAGAAATGCAATAATAATAATAGCGATAATAAAAGATGAATTGCATGGGGGTGGGCGATGTGTAGGGGAAACGAGGCAAAGAAACCGAAGCTCTCTTGCGTGGTGGGCAAAAGCCCAAATCTATTGTGCTCCACTGCCCCTCACCCCCATTTCCAGCTGGAGAGCCAGCTGCTCAAAAGCTTCGGCCATGTGGTCATTCCAAAGTGCCATAGTCTTGTCAGTTTGCATCACTTTCAGGGGGATGCTCACCGTTTGAAAGCCGGGCCGACCCCCCCCCCAAAAAAGTAGGCTGCCAGTGGTCCGCTGCCATTTAAAAGCTCAGGCCCTGCAAAGGCAACGGCTGTAATTAGGTACCGAGCTCCGCAGATGTTTGAAGTTGGAAGAATACCCATGTGCGGCCTTGCTCGCGAGGGCGGGCCTGGAGCCCGGGAAGCGACTTCAAAGCCCCGCTAATCCCGCGAGTCTCCTCACGGAGGTGCTGCAAGGAGACA